CGCCCACGCCCCACGAGAAGGCCCTCACGTCGCCGTCGTGGGGCAAGGGGGCCGAGCTGCTCCTGGGGGACCAGTCGGACCTCATGGCCACCCTGGACGGCGCGGCCAAGTCGGACGGGAGCTCCCCGCCCGTGGGGGAGTTCGCCTCGGAGGAGGTGAGCACGAGCTACGCCAACGAGGACGAGGTGTCGTCCAGCTCCGACAACCCCCCGGCCCTGGCCAAGGCCGGCCGCAGCCCCCTGGTGACCGGCTCCCCTAAACTCCCGGCTCGGGGAGTGGGCGCCGGCGAGCTGGGACCGAAGGCGGCGCCGCCCGCCCTGGGCCTGGGCATCTTGTCTACCTCTACCTCCACCCCTGACAGCTACGGCGGCGGCGGCGGGCCGGGGCACCCGGGCACCCCGGGCCTGGAGCAGGGCCGGACCCCCACCAGCAGCGGGGCGCCGCCGCCCGAGGAGGTCCACCCCCTGGAGATCCTCCAGGCTCAGATCCAGCTGCAGAGACAGCAGTTCAGCATCTCCGAGGACCAGCCCCTGGGGCTCAAGGCCGGCAAGAAGGTGGAGTGCCCGGGCGTCGTCGGGGCTCCGGGGGCGCAGGGCGGAGGTGGCGGCGGCGGCGGCGACAGCTGCTGCTCCGAGGCCGTCAAGAGCGCCATGAGCACCATCGACCTGGACTCGCTCATGGCGGAGCACAGCGCCACCTGGTACATGCCGGGGGACAAGGCCCTGGTGGACGGCGCGGACGACGACAAGGCCCTGGCACCCTGGGAGAAGGCCAAACCCCAGAACCCCAACAGCAAAGAAGGTACCCGCGCTCGGGCGCCCTCTCCTCCTTTCCCTGTCGCCTGCCCCTTGTCTGTCTGGCGCAGCGCAGGCCTCAGTCTCGGCTCCTTGGGACTCTTGGGGTTTGGAGGGCACCCGCTTTCCTAATGCCCAGGTCACAGCCGGGCGGTCCTGACACCCCCAGTCTCTCGGTCCCACCAGCCCGTGTGTGGATGGACAAGGGGGTGGGGGAGTGATGCAAACTTTGATGATTTTAGAGTCCCACCCCTGGCGACAGAGCTGGGGACAAGTCCACCCCCCCTGCTATTCACCGTTCTGGGAGGGGGGGTCCTGGCTTAAGGTGGGAGCCCCCCTTGTTGGGGCTGGACACCTGCAAAGCTGTGTCTGTTCTCTGACTGCCAGCCCGCCCACCCTCCCTTTCCTACTTAGCCAGCCTCAAGCTTGAGTGCGTGACAGCATCATTACAGGAAAAGTTATCAGGTGCCTGCAGGGTGCACAGCCCTCCTCCCTTGTCTCCTCCCCCCCCCCAATAGCTGGTCTCTGTTTTCCTAATGATTGTGGAGTTTCATGGAAGAATCTGGGCACCTGTGAAGGTTGTAGTAGTCAAGCAGCGATTTTAGGATCCATCTCCTTGTTGGGGGGTTTTGGGGGGGCCTAGAGCTGGGGCTGGGGTTAGGGATGTGAATCTGTACGCATTCGAAAGACAGAGAGGACCCGCTTGTGTGAGGGTCCTGCTTGGCTTTGGTGACAGATGTTCAGTCACTCACTGCTGGTCTTTTGGATTGTGAACACCAGGTTGTCCCAAACCAGGCCTGGAGGCCTTTAGGGTAGGAGGGGATCACCAGTTCCAAGTTAACAGTAGTAACAGTTCTTCTCAACCCCAAGAGGAGTCCACTGCAGCGGGTATCCATTTTATTTTCATGTCTGGTTTGGTTTGGATTCTAAGACTATAACTCGCAAGCTTCTTAAAATGAGAGAATGTCATCTCTCTTCCAGTCTGTCTCCCTCTGCTTTTAAGAACAAACAAACAAACAAAAAGCCCTCCTTGATTTCCCTAGGTTTTGTGATTAGGATATTGACCCCACCAGTTCCCATGGGCTAGTAGATTTAAACTCTGGTCCTTTTGAAAAAGATGTCTCTTGATTTCTGCCTTCTCTCATAGTCCGTCCTCTGCTCTTCCTCTGCCTTTCCTGCATCTTCCAGGGAGCATCCCAATTCTGGATTTTGAGTGAGGGGAAAGTCCAGTTGAGGGGAGAGGAGAGGCAGAAGAGCAGGCCGGGAATTGGGGTTCAGAACTCGCACCCATCCTGGTGGGTAGCTTTTCCAAGCTCTCCCAAGGCTCCGGCATATCCTAGCTGCTTGTGTCTTTGTTCCCGCGGTTGCCCGGCCTGGGTGCCCGGGATGCTTGCTCTCATTTGAAACTGGGTGTTTAGCATGCATGGCAGATACCCAGGCTGGGCCAGCATCAGCATTCTGTAGCCTACTCCCAAGCAAGGCCATAAATTGCTTAGTTTGGGACCCTCAGCCTCTTTTTTTTTTTTTTTCCTTTTTAAAAAATGGAGTTGGATACAGCATCCTGCTTGCTGGCCCTGCCTCCCCTTCTCTTTTATTTTCTTGTACACAACATCTCGCTCCCATCCAATCGATAGCTGGTTAGCACAAATCTCAGCCCCTGTCACTAATACCTGGTCTGGCCTGGCTGCCCCCTCCCTCTTCCCCCCACCCCCATCCCTATCCAGTAATTAAGAAAAGTTTTTGTTTTTTTGCATGGTAGAATGAATAAAGAAAATCAGTCTTACTTCCCCTTGCAGATCTTTTAAAGAGCCTTGCTAGGTTGAGTGGTGTTAAGTGGAGAGGTATTAAATTAGATTATTTTTTAAAAAGAGTCTTCTTAAGCCTGTCCCCAGCCCTGAAGATACAGAGCCAGACTTGGAATGACTAAATATCCTGACATGTTTCGTTTTGTTTTGTTTCATTATCACAGTGAGAAAGAGAAGAAGAAGGGGGAAAAAATCTTTTCTGGAAACACATGGTTGTCAATTTCAGGTTGATTTTCCCTGTGGGAAGCTAAGGCCTTCCTCCAAGGAGCAGCTGGGGGCGGGCAGGACCCCCACTTGACCTCCTTTGTTTTCTCCTTCTATGTGGTAAAGACAGTTTCCTAGATAAAGCTCAGAATCGAGGTCACTCCACACTGCCAGCCTCCACTCAGCCTCCAGGGCTCCTGGTTCAGGCCTTTAGAAAGAGGGCTGCAGTAGATTCCCAGCTCTCTTCCTAGTAGTAAATAAAGATGATTACAGTTTTCATTGTGATAAGGCCCTGCTGGTCCATCTGTACAGGTTGTATAAATAGGTATACAGAGCCTCCCATGGCACCCCCGCCTCCCAGTGCCCCAGCTAGACATCACCAGCCAAGTGTGCCACTTGGAAATAGAGAAACGTACAGGGGGGGGAAAAACCCCGCTGAGTTCCCTTTAAACACACAATCAAACACATACCCATGGGTCCCACCACCCTGAGATGTCCCATGGCATTACCTATCCCCCTTTCTAGAAATTCCAGCTCTGGCCCTCTCCTCTCCCCCCACCCCCCTTCCCCCAACGGCCCAAGCCCATTTTTGTAATGATATTTTTTATTTTGTCACGCCGTAAAACACACCAGTACTAATGTGATTAAATATTAACACTGCTTCTGAAATTCTCCGCTCCGATGACAGAAAGCTCCTCGGTATTTAACGGAATGATCCGATCTGGTCTAAGATTGGAGGGAGTGTGTGAAAAGTCTTCCAGGGCCATTACAAGATGAGGCAGCCCCAGTCCCCTAGGAGGGTAGGGAAAAAAGAAAAAAGAAAAAGAAAAGGAAAAGGAAAAACTTGCCAAGCAAGTTCTCTTAAAAACTCCAAGCCAGGATCTCCCGTGATTATGATTTTTCTTTTCTTTTTTCTTTTTTTTTTACATTAAGAAAACAAGCCTGTCCAAACTCTACTTTCTTTGACTTGGGGAAACAATCTATGGAAGTATTTTTATAGAACAAAACGGCATCTGATCACGAGGCTCCGTTTGTGCAAAGTTGGGGAAGGGTAAGATTATAAATAGGTTGGGAAAAAAAAATCCCTGCCTGAGTTTGGGGGCCTCTTTAGACATCTCTGAAGTTAGAGAGGATGGCATGAATTTAAAAATAGTGTGCAACGCTGTCTGCCTGTCTCATAGCTGTGGCCATGCGTGGTTATGGAGGAAATTGAAACTGGAGAGAGAAATAATAATAACAACAACAACAATAGTAGAATACAAATAGATAATGGAGAAGAAAGTCAGAACCGTGCCCTCTTTCTCTGCTGCCCCTACCAGTGTTGGAAGCCTGAATTGGCCGTGTGCTGTTTGTTCTAAGTTCTCTGTGCTCCTAACTTCCTTTCTCTTGGTTGACGTCTTAGAAATCAGCCTCGATGAGGCTCCGGCACATCTTGGAAAAGAAGGCCGCCTCCACGCAGGCCCTCTACCCAACCCTGCTCTTTCTTCCTTTTTCCTTGTCCTTTTTCTTTTTTTTTAATTAGACATCTGATGTTTTGACAGTGATGTGGAGACACTAGGAGTTCCATGCCTCTCCCAGGGTCCGGAGAGAATTGGGGTAGGCAGCCCTGGGGAGTATTAGGCGGCTAGGAACTGACTTGAACAGTGGGCCTGTGTACTCAGAGGACGTGAAGGGTGGAAGATCCCGGCCTCGGGGTCAAGCAGTTTCTCAAAGTCACCAATCCTTGCTTCCTACATCATAAAAGGTGTCTGTGCGTGCGTGTGCATGTTGATGTGCCATTACTGGGACTTGAACTTGGGACCTGGGAACTGTCCCTTGGTTCTTTCACTCAAGGCTCTTGCTCAACCACTGGAGCCACAGCTCCACTTCCAGCTTTGTTTCTTTTCTTTTTCTTTTGGTGGCTACTTGGAGATGAGGGTCTCACAGACTTCCCTGTCCAGGGTGACCATCCTCAGATCTCAGCCTCCTGAGTAGCTCGGATTACAGGCGTATAGGCCTCCTGCCGATGCCCGGCCTGGGAGAGAATTTGAAAAGCTCCCTCCCACTTGTGTGGGGTTGGTACAGAACTGTCATCGATGCGTTTCTGTGCAGAGCCGGGCAGGTCCCCTGCAGGCCTGCTGCTCTGTCACCTTTGCGCCCTAGCTCCGGAAGATGTAACCCAAAACTCTGCAGGTGTTCATCAAGTGTGAGGTAAAGACATAGGGGCTCTCTTCGTGCAGCTGACGTGTGTGTGTGTGTGTGTGTGTGTGTGTGTGTGTGTGTGTGTGTAGATGCTTGCTCCCTTGACGAGGACAGGACATACCACTACTGTTCTGGGCTGCTTGTTTAATATTTCATGGCAGTAATAAACCTGTCTTTGCTGCCCGCCTTCTGACATACACCGCCCCCCCCACGCGCATACATCTGCAATTATACATTTCCACTAAATATTAATAAAGGGCGTGCATGTATGTTTTCAGGGGCTGAGGGTGTGTGGAGTAGAACTTGTCATGGTTATGCGATTGGATTTTTTTCTTCTTTCTTGGCTACGTTGACTTCAAATTGCGATCGCTTTCCCTAATTTGCAATATATACTTGACTATTCTCATCAGCGTCCGTGTCCGGGCGGGTTTTGCAGAGTGAATGCCTCTCTCCTCGGGGCTAGCTTTCTTTTGTATAAATTACATTTAGATTTCTTGGGAGATCCCTTCAGACCGGAAGTGAGACACAACTACACAACTGTGAAAAGGTACTTATTTCCCTCCCCCCCCTCTTTTTTTTTTATTGAGGGCTCTTGGAAAGGAGCGTGTGGGTTGTTGAATCTAATTTCTCTTTCTAGCAACGGAATTCTGTGATTTCTGATCTGATTTTCCTCCCCACATCCACCCCGTGTGGAGAGGCCGAGTAGACAGGTTTGTGTTTTTTTTTTTCCCAAAAGTCACTCGTGGCTGAAAACTTGTGTTCATCGTCAGTGGCGAGTCTCTCTCTACTTCGGTGACAATCACAATAGATTGGTGGT